CAAAAAATAAAAGGACCCGGCAACAATAATCAAATAAAACAAAGTAAACCCTCAATCAAAAGGAAGCAGAAAATATTTAAAACTAGAATAATTTCAAAATGAGTTAAAGGGAGATTTCATTCCAGCCCAACTATAACTGCTAAAATCCGCTTTCCAGTGTGCTTTGATAGGAAGGCTACTTGCTTTCCTGAGCTGTAGTCAGTGGGGATCCACGGAGGGACCCTGAAAATGAATTTTAGGTGCCGCCATCATCCATAGAAGCTATTTTTATGTTGCTAGCCCTATTGCTTGTAGCCTTATTTCCTAGTAATACTGTCTCTTGCAAGTTAGTTTTATCATCATAATTTTACGGACAAATCCAATGTTATATGAACTATTTGAAGTCCCCCCCACCCCACCCTGATAACATATAGAATTAGATGTACCTTGAAACTAAATCTGTAAGAAACTCACGTAGGAATGCCGGCTTGTTCTTCTAGGCGTGAACTGCCGCCACACTCCAAACAAAAGGACCACAGAAGCAGAATGTCTCATCTGTGGCATGGCCCAGAGTCCACATGAGATGATGCAGGGCTACCATTTTTATAAGGAGTGTCTGGGGTCTTCAAAACTTTCAGATGCAACTGTAGACAATTGGATATCCCCCCACAGAAGGGTTATAAGGAAGGGATGATTCATCCAAGGTGTCGTATAGCACTGAGGAATCACACATCATTCCTCTAGTTCCTGAATGTTTCCCCCACCCACTCACCCCCACTACCATGACCCAGTTCTACTGTACAAATCTGGCTAGAGGAGAACACACATTAGTACAGATAAGAGCTCTCAACACATGGAATTCAAAATAGATAAACTCCTCAGGTACAGTAGTGGAAGTAGCAATATCATGAGGATGAGGGGGAGAAAGGAAGAACCCATCACAAGGTTGGATATATAGCCCCCCCAAGGGGACAAATAACAGAAATGTGGATGAAGGGAGACGACAGTGTAAGATATGAAATAATAATAACTATATAATTTATCAAACATTCACGAAAGTGGGAGAGAAGGGGAAGGAGGGGAAAAAAGAGTAGTTTATACCAAGGGCTCAAGTTGAAAATATTTTGGAAATGATGATGGCAACATATGTACAAATGTGCTCCATATGATATAATTGATGTATGGAATGTTATAAGAGCTGTGAGAGTCCCCAATAAAAATGATTATAAAACTCCTCCAAACTTGCAGGTGCCTATCTAAGATTAGTTTCTATTTCTATGCAACAAAGAGTCCATGTAGAAGAAAACATTCATAATAGTGAATTAATAATATCTAAAAACAAAAAAGCATGATCAGAAGGAGGAAATGTGTGAGAGCAATCTAAAATCTAAGGTGCTTGATATGACTAAAGTCCTGACTCAGGCCTGGATCAATTCACTTTAACATGCAATGCCCACTTTCTGTAATATGCCCACTTTAAGTGAAAAACCATTTCAAGAGGTAGCACATGAACAAGAACCATTGATATTGAAGGAAGAAGTCCAAGCTGCACGGAAGGCATTAGCTGAAAGTCTCCAGAATTGGAATAGCAAGTGAAATGTTTCAACAAGCTGATGAAATCCTTGAAGCACACAGTTTACAGAATGAGAGAACTATCTAACAATATCAGCAAAGCACATGCAAGTAAACTTTGCTAAAGATCATTCAACAAATGTTGCAGCGGAACAGCAACAGGGAGCCGCCAAAAATTCAGGCCAGATCCAAAAGCAGATGTGGAACAAGGAATATCATTGGTGACATCCAATGGATCTTGGCCGAAAGCAGAGAATAGCAGAAAAATGTTTACTTGTATTTTATTGACTATTGAAAAGCATTCAACTCTGGGGATCAGAACTACTGATAACATCTCAAAGAATGGGGATTCCAGAACACTTTGCCATGTTCAAGCGGACCCTGTTCATAGACCAAGAAGCAGCCATTATAACAGAACAAGGGAAGACTGCATGGTTTAAAAATCAAGAAGATTGTGCATCAAGATTGTACTTTCACCGTACTTAGCAGTCTGTATGCCGAGCAAACAATCAGGGAAACTGCACAATATGAAGAAGAGTGTGCCACCAGGATTGGAGGTTTACTAACAACCTGTGATACAAAAATGACAGGACCCTGCTTGCTGAAAGCCAAGAAGACTTGAAGCACTAGCTAATGAAAATCACACCACAGCCTTCAGTATGAATTGCAACTCAACGTAAAAACCCAAATCCTCACAACTGGACCAATAGACAACATTATAATAATCAGGCAATGATTGAGGTTATCAAGGTTTCATTTTGTTTGGGTCCACCATCGATGCTCACAGAAGTAGCAGTAAAAAAAATGGAGATAAGAGTTGCAACTCTGTTATGAGTGTGAAGTACAGGAAAACAAGTCAATGAAAAAAAATCCTGCCCCGGCCAAACCAAGTCCAGTCGAGAGAGTCATGACCCATTGCCCACATACAGGGGGTCCCGGCTACATGTTCTGTGCCCCTCTGGATCCCATTATCTCCTCTCATTTCATCTTCTCATGCCTCTCCTGTGCCTTTGGGGACTGTGCAAAGAAGCTTTCTCTCTGGGTGTGGAGAATATCCCAAGGCCTGTGTCAGGTCAGCTAAGAACCTCTGCTTACCATGAATAAGGAAGTACTTGGGATCTACCCAAGGCTACTTCCAAGAACAGCCTCAAAAAAAAAGGAAAGAAGGGAAAAAAAGAACAGCCTTCAGAAACATGGGGCCATTCAGACTAATTTCTCCACACTGAAGTGATGCCGGTTAGACTTAGATTAGCAGCATTACCAGCCACGTGCGAGTTTTGTTATGGCCAGCATGTTCACACAAAGGTGACCCCAAGGGTCCAGTGTCCCTATCAGGGCTACCTCATGATGCTCCCATGGGGATGATTTCACATCCCTGCACACCATACTGATGTCTCAATGTCTATTTGGTAAAATAGAAAACTAAAGGAAATAAAAGAAACCCTCAAGGAAATGGATTGGTACCAAAACTATAACAATGAACTGAAACATATCATTGACCAGGTTTGCAGCACCACAAAATCTTTCCTTCTGAAAGGCACCAGGTGGTCAGAACTCACAATCAGCTTGATGGCAACTAACAGTAACCCTCTCTCTATTAGGGGATTGTGCACATGTCCCAATCATGATCCTGTTCCCACTTGTGTAGTCCCACCTGTGGCTGTGATGTATTGATCTGCCACCAAGCACAAATTGAGACATTATTCTTTTTTACATATTTAATTAGCATCCTGGCTGTGCATCTACCATTATGACCTCCCTCATTATGACCTCCCTCATCTGGATGAGGTGTCCGTGTGTGTCTCTGTGTTGACTTTGTCCCTTTTAAGACTTAATCAATGCTCTCCCTAAATGGTATTTGAAATTGGTTTCATTTGTACCCTGAAACAGCAGCAAATTTGCCCTTGGGCAAGTCATTTGATTTCTTTTTTTTTTTTACCCACCGGCAGCCCGCCCCACCCCGGCCCACCCTCGTCATTTGATTTCTTGACGGTGGCTTCCGTGAGCATAGATTGTGGAGGATTCAAGTCAAATGAAGTTTCTGACTTCAACCTTTTGTCTGTTTATTATGGAGTTGTCTATTGGGCCAATAAGGAGGATTGGGCGTTTCTTTACACATCAAATTGCAATCCTTGGTAAAGGCTAAAGCCATTTGCTTTCATCAGCAAATAATTCAAGCCCCCTTTATTTTCAGCAAGCAACGCTGTGACATCTGCATATCAAAATTTGTTCATAAGTTTCCTCCAATCCTGTGGCATCGTGCTTCATATAATCTAGCTTCTTGAATGATTTGTTCAGCATATGTATTGAATAAGTATGATGAAAGGATACAACAGTGTACACCCCTTTTCTGATTTTCCTGTGCCTGCCAGCAGAACTGTTTTAAACAAGCACAATGGAGAAGACTCAGGAGGGAGGTGCCACTACACCAACCTGTGAGCCACCTAACTAGTCAAAAAGGTAACTGTTTTGGGCCCGGAAGGAGTTAACAGAGGCTGTGGGCTGTGGACTGTTTCCATGGACACCAGATAGCCTTCGCAAACCAGGGAGGGGCTCCGGACTTCTGAGCTGCAAGCGGCTTGGATGCATTTCTTGGAGCTGGACGGAAGGCGCTGTGGTCCTTCCCAAGGACATAAACCTTGAGTTTCCTGATAAGGCAGTTTTGTTTTGAAAACCTAGTGCTTAGTCTGCTCCCTCGTTCCTTGTTTACTTTGAGGAAGTGCATACGTGCTTAGCAGAGGGAATAAAAGACCGTGCAGGGCGGCCATCGGGGCGACAGCCAGCCCGAGGTGTCAGCCCTTCGCTGGTGTTAAGCCGCCTTTCCCGTGCCCGTGTCTTCATTTCTGGTCCGACCCAACGCCGCACGCTCCAACTGTCGGGGGAGGATTGTAGTGCTCGCTGAGCATCAGAGAAGTCAGGGCAGTCTGCGTGGACATAAGTGTCCCTGTAACCCTCGGGTTTGGATAACAAACAGGTGTTTGGATTGGCCTGTTTGCAAAAACCGAGAGTTCAAAAGCAAAAGGGAAGAACACAATCAGCCTACCTGAAGCTGAAAGAACTCAAGAAAAAGTTCATCCCTCGAGCTGCGACACTGAATGCTTCTAAATTCGGGCGATAGATTGAGGGATGCAGGAAGCATCCAAAGACGGAAAGAATGCGCAGTCGCTGCATCAAAGGGACGTCGTCAGGTTTCCGTGATGGTTGTGGGGACCGTGGTTGGACGACCTTCAGCAAGAAGGTAAGCGGGCGCTTAGTCACGAAGTCCGAGCCGGACACCGCTGCTCCCGGGCGCGGCTGCCTTTCAAAGCGGAGCGCGGGCTCGGAGCCGCGCCGGCGACTGGACGCGCCTTCTGACGTCACCGCGCGCGCCGGGGGC